GAGTGCATACGTCTGAAGAAAGAAGTGATGGGAAGTAATGCTGGAGAGGTACACAGATCTAGTTGGGAGGAACCTCCCTTACATGCCACATTAAGGAGTGGCTTCATCCTGTCGGTACAGGGAGCCACTCAGCAAGTTTAGGTTAGGAGACAGGACTCAGATTTGTATTTCTGCCAGTTCACTTTGGCAGCATGAAGGGGGAGTTTCAGGGAGTAGCTCTGTGGGCAGGGATGGCAATTATGACATTTGTGTGCTATTCTAGGTGAGAGGAAAGAGGGATAGAGAAGAAAATGAGGGTATGTAGGTAAAATTGCCACTAGAACCCATAATACTAGAACCTAATCTTGTAAGGACTTTTAGATGGAGTGAACCACAACTTAGGGTATGAAGTGGGGCAATGGGAGTTGGGTAGTATTTGGCAGAGTGAGGCTGTGGCACAAGCCAGTTTACGAAGACATTAAAAATCTATGAAGAGGGGTGCCTGGGTGGCTCAATCAGTTGAATGTCTGACTTTGGCTGAGGTCATGATCTCACAGTTTGTGGAACTGAGCCCCCCCACATCAGGCTGTGCGGACAACTCAAAGCCTGGAGCCTGCTGGGGATTCTGTGTCTCCCTCTCTCTCTGCCCCTCCCCTGCTCACACTCGCTCTCAAAAAATAAAATAAACATTAAAAAAATGTTTTTTTCTAATCTACAAAGAGAAATATAGAAAAAGAGATGGGGTTTACTATTTCAGACCTGAGTTTTGACCTGCGCCTAAACATGCTCCCTATAAACACCCAGTTGAAAGAGCTGTGAGTTCTGCTATGTGGGTTGGCCCCATGGGATGTTAGCATCCAGTTTCCCAGCAACCAGAAACCAATCTATTTGCAGTAAAATTGAAAACTCAACAATTTTTTTAGACAGCCTCATCCTATGAACTCAGCACAAGATGAGGAACCTTAAACTGAAATGTTCATTTAGATGGAGCAAGTGACTTCTGCAAACTTGAAGTCATTCAAGCTAGCTTTATCTTTCTCATCAGCAAAATAACAAGAAAGAATACCAATCTATCCCACTGAGATTGTGTGGGAAACATCTAACTAATGATTATAAAATATTTTGGAAGTACACAGTGCTGTAGGAATGCTAAAATATATAACATCCTAGAATCTCAAGGACTTTAAAACACTCAGTTAACACAATGATTAACATCTAAAATACAAAAGAATCTGGCTAAATCCTATGACAGAGGCCCCTATGACAAATTGAAGGATTTTGAAAGCTGCAAAAATGCATTAAAAACAGGAGTTCATCAAACAGTGTTCGAGAAAACACACTTACTTGATTTATTTTGGCAATCTTATTTCCTGATGAAAACATGGTCATGAAAACTTGGGGTAAAAGTTTTGAAACATAAGCAGATACTCCATGTACTAGAAACCTACTGTAAAAATGTTCTGTCCTGTAATAAAAAAAAAAGGGGGGTGGCATTGGCTTTCTCTTTGTTCATTTCCTTTTTTAAAAAATGGAAATGAAGTTTTGATTTCAAGGGTTTTGGATTCTCAGAGGCTTGCCTTCTGAGGTCAGCCTTACCACTTACTGGCAGTGTGGCTTAGCAAGTTGTCTTTAAGTTTCATTCCCATTATGTCTAGTACAGGGATGGGAATACCAACCTGGTCTTCTGCGAGGACTCAATAAGACCACTTATGGAAGCATTTAGCACACATATAGTAAATGCTCAGTAAAAGGTAGTTGTGGTTTTTCTGGTACAACATTTTACTTTTTATTAGCTTTTTCATTTTTTAAAATTTATTTACTTTTGAGAGAGAGACAGAGCATGAGTGGGTAAGGGGCAGAGAGTGAGGGAAACAGAACTCAAAGCAGGCTCCAGGCTCTGAGCTGTCAGCACAAAGCTCAACATGGGGCTCAAACCCATGAACCGTGAGATCGTGACTTGAGATTATAAACAGTAAATAAACAGCAAACAGGAGTTTCCTTCGTCAAGATAAGGGTAACCTGGAGAAGAAAAATCAGGAAGACTGTAGGTCATCTCTGCTCAGAGCATTGATAGCTTCAGCAGAAAGCTGTAATCTGTTTCAGTAAGGTATACTAGTCATCATCCTGATTATACTGAAACAAGACAACTACACACTTCTTCCTGGTCAGTGTATTAACAAAGTTCTTAATATTTTCTTGGTCTGTATACTTATAAAGAATCTTTATATTCTGTAGACTGATACAAGAAGGCAAATAAACACAGTATCACAAGAAAAAAGAAAAGCTCTCTTGGGTTCTATTCCTCCCTTAAATTGACCAAAAGACTTAAGAATTTATCCAAGTGTTAGATAAATTAGAAAACAGCCCTTTGGTGAACAAGCACTATACCAAGTCAATACCTCTCTCTACTCCTAATGGTCCATTAGCATAATGACAACTCCTCAGAGTCCTGTCCTGTCCTCTCACTTGATCTTATGACTGTCAACAACATTTATTAATAAGCACTTACTATACAGGTCAGGCAGTATGCTAGATAAGTTAGTAATAGTCAACAAGTTCTTGTTTCTAAGCACTTAACAGACTACAGGAAAATAACAATAATAATAATAAACTAAACACAATAATACTAATTACTAGTGTGCAGTTACTAGAAACCAACATGTATGAACTGGGTGGGGTACCCAGCCCAGGCTAGGTGGGAGTTGGTGCTAATTAGATGGAGACCAGGACAATAAGCTAGGTGAAACAAGGTTGGGTGAAGCTCTCAACTCCCAATGACTGCTCAAAGGCCTTCAAGTAGGAAGGAAGAATGGTGAACAAGAAATGATAATTACTACAACTTGCTTTAAAAAAAATCAAAATCCTTTGAGTTGTAGTTTTTCTGCAAAGATGGAAAAAGGTTTTAAATTAAGATCTAAGACAGGAAACAAGAATTAATATGTGAAAATATACAGAAAAGAGAAAAATCACACTCATTTGGTTCAATAAAAGTAAAATATTATGAAATTACCAATTAAATTCTCAGAAACACAAGAAATCTGCTCCTTCAGCTAGTTCATGACAACCTGGACCAAAACAATATATTAACAATCTTGTACCAGCATTAGTTTGCCCAAATTTCCTTCCTACTGCTTCACATTCTTATACATGGTGCTTGCTTTTCCTTCTTATCACCCACTATTCTTAGAATATTCTTCAATTTCAATTGTCCTAAATAACCATTATTCAAAAAGGTTTTAAGCTTCGACCTGATTTCTAAGAGCAATGGCTTCAATGCCTATCTCTTTATCTTCCTCTATTTTGTCTGAGACGTAGTGCTATGCTTATATATTTATTCCAAAACCCTTAAAGCAAGAATCTGGGATTGTATTATTCTCAGGTATAGAGAAAGACAAAATAAAGGCTGGATAAAATTCTAAAACAAAGTGGATTTTCTCTATTTCTAAATTATAAAATTGTTTGAGAATAACAATTTGAATAAACAAATGATTTAATTCATACATCTTTTATTCTTCTTTTGGCAAACATCAGATAATATGAGCAAAACTATATTGCTCACTATAGTTACATACATTCTTTTTTGCTTTGTATAAGTTTGTAAACATCTGGATAAAATTCTTGGCTAAAGACATATTCCAAAACTCTGACATATACATTTTTGAGTTAAGAGAAAAGAAAGCTTATGAAACTTCCATTAGACCATAATCATACAGCAAACTAAATTAGTATATGCTGCTTTTAAATTAACATCTGCCATTTTTTTTAAAGACTTCAATTTTTGGTTACAGCTAAAATGATTTTTATCTTAAGTTTTATGAAAGAACAGAAGCTGACCACACGAATCTTACTCATAACTATATTTGGCTATTTAAAAAATAAAAAATAAAAATAAACCTATAATCAAGGTTCCATTCATCTTATTGGAAAAAAATAGCTACCAAGAAGTTATTTTAAATATAGACGACATTTGTAATAACTAGGTTTCTGATATTTGTTTTATTACTTCTTAATGCTTATCTTTGGATTTTAAAGTAACAGATCATTTCATAATAAAGGTAAGCCATTTATCATTTTCTAATTTAATTCTTTTATAATTTCAGACCTAAAATATTTCAGACCAAGGATTGTAACAGTCAGCTTTTAGAATATATGTTGTTAGGCAGATAGTATAGTTTTTCATCTTTTTAACTAGAACCCCGTCGTGCAGTACTTGATCTAGCGGACCTCAGTGTCTACCAGCTTCCCACGTTGTCACCAGGTGGGCATGTGAGACTGAGGACTGTTTTTAATACTATAAAACCCAATATTTACTTACAAAAATTAGTTGTGTTCTTGGAGCAAAAACTGAAATATTACAAATTTGATGCTAAATCTTAATATTTACTCCGAATTTGGGAAAAACAGATCAAACCAAAAGTTTCATTTTTATAACACTTAGTTACATAACAAATTATCAGTGAGACATGTTTCTATATATGGATACTATCTTCTTAGAATAGTGTTAAGAGTAATCTGAAATCTGAGCCAGATAAATCATTCACATCAGAAAATACTGTATACTGATTTTACTATTCAGTCTTAGCTCCCAAACAGTGGCTTTCAACTTGATCCCTACAAGTAACATAAAAATTCTCAAATATCTGAATTAAATGGAAAGGTAGGCTAAGTAACTTTCTTCTAATCCTGGAGAATGAAACAAAAAGAGAGGTCTGGTAAGACAAACTGGAAGAGGAGAATGTGAAGTAAAGTTGGCCTTGGACCCTTTTACATTGCTACTCCTTTGGTGTGTACAAGTTAAAAAAAATAAAAGAGGCCACAAACTGTTTCTGAGTGGAAAAGACCACAAGGAAAGCAAAGGAGCTAAGTGGTGATGAGGAAAACATAACAAAGAATATAAAAATTTGCAGCTTTGAAGATAATCAAGAAACGATGGTACTGGTGCTCCTGGCTGACTCAGTTGATAAGAGCATGCAACTCTATATCATGCGGTCATGAGTTCAAGCCCCCATGTTAGGTGGGAAGATTACTTTAAAAAGTAAAAAAATAGAATAAAAAAATAAAAGACACTAAAAAACTGTAAGAAAGAAAACATGATGGTACTTCTTTAGGGGTATGATCTAATAGGAACACCTATTTAAATCTGTCTCATTTCTTAAACTTCACTGATTCCCATATGAATAAATATTTTAAAAATTTTAGTTATTAAAGCAAGCTCTTTAGCTGCACTTTGATGGGATTACATAAAAAGCTTCATACTATTAATTCCATCAGTACCAGGGTTACTGAAAACAGATGCATTTATAAGCATTAAGCAGGTTTGCTATCACCCTTACTACATTTTTGCAATGACAAAGAGACCAAGTCATTTCATTTCTTCAAGAAAGTTACATTAAAATGGTTACTGAAAGCTTTTGATAATAATGAGAAAAATTAAATTTATTTCAATGCAGAACAGAATGTTAAAGACCCTATATTAGTAAAAATATCAGCAAATAGGTACTATCTTGGTCTATAAATGATGTTCTCCACAATGGACTCACAAGTGTTTTTAAATAGCACAAAGGGAACACTGGTTAAAGTTTATCTCTAACACATTTTTTTTTTTTTAATCTGTTAGTAGCTTTGCCATAAAACTGATTTAAGGTAGTTGTGTTTTTCAGTAATGTTAGAACAATCCAGCACTTGTAAGAATACTCAGATCGGCACACTGTACTAAAACATAATTGTGTAACATTTTGCAAACTAGCTGCAATTTTCAGTAGCTGTATTCACCAACTGTGTAACAGAATTGTAATGTTCTCCTAAGCCGTATGCATGTCTCATATATCTGAAATGAGAAAAGGAGAAATGAGTAGTTTAGACAAAAGTAATTCATTGTGTATAAATGTTTATTATGTATATAAAACCAAACACTCTGAATGAATCACTCCACAGGGGTATCATTCAAAGACTTCATTGACATATTACTTAAAAGTTCAAACCCATTTGAAAAGCTTCAGCAGTCAGTAAAATCTGGTTCAATAACTCTGTCTGCTGAGTTTACAGGGAAAACACAGTCATTAGGGGGTAAAAGGAAATTACTGTGATGCTGAGTACTCAATAAGCTTAAATTTTTACCTAGATGTAAGCCATTAATGATTACCTTGGTAGTATGGCTAATAAACATTAAAGCCAAAGCAAACTCTCCATGTTGTATTTCAGAAAAGAATTCTCAATCATGTAAAATACTTTTACCATGTGAAGAAAATATCTCTAAGGAATAACCAGTTAGGCAACATGAATATACTTCTGCTTTTGTACTTGTTGAAACTTAACATTATTATTAATGTCACACTAAGCCAATATGAAAACTAATCCTAAAATATGTAACCTTTAGAAATGATGTTATTCTTAATTCATACACAAGAATAAACCACTAGAAGTTTAAACAATTATCTAAATCACATCTTGACAATGCTTTCTAATTTTATAATTGCCTTTAACATAAAATAAGCATAATTAATGCAAATGACATATTTTTTCTAATGAATCAACATACACGATCTAACATCTTTGAATAATTCTTTTTGTCTTAACTATGAAAAATGTAACAGTAGAAATTTCCAGGTACTTACACAAGTACTAAAGGGTTTTTTTGATATTCTTCACCAATTACAATAGGAGGAGAATCTGCCTGTATTATCTCTATCGGTGTTTGTAAAATGTGAGACAAGGCTCTTAGCTACAGGAAAGAAAATGTATTAGTAAGGAAAATAAAAAGGCAAATCTTACTCAAGTCATAAACTACTGAGTATGCATGAATAGGGCAACCATTACCCAGTAGAGACCTATTCTGTTCCTCACCATACACCAAGAGCTTGCTCGCCACAGAGCGGACACTTAATACAATTTGTTGAAAAAGCAAATGTAATATTTATTAAATCAAATTCTCTGACTACACAACAGCTTTTTAGAAATAGCAATACCATAGTTAATGAAGTAAAGGTTCATTACACTAGTCCCCCTGCTTTCAAATATTGCTTGAAAATCACCATTTTTTAAAAATACTATCGCTCAGGCACCAGATCAAATCAATTACAATTTGTGAGGGGCTGAGGGAAGAAGAGAAAGAACAGGAAATATTAGGAAGTTTATTTTTTTTAAAGCTTTTCCCAGATGATTCTAATGTACTAGTGTTGAAAACCATTGTTCCATAATTTTCAAGGCATGAGTAGAATGAGTTATGTATGTGAATTGTACTATCCTTTCATGGAATTTCCATATGATTGATACACAATGTTAATTTCATACCAAACATTATATAATTAGAGCTTAAAGTCAGATGAATCATAGTTAATAATATATATTGGTAGCAATGGTGTTTAGACCTACTATGACCAAGAATATTAAGCACTTAATGTATATTAACTCATTCAATCCTGACAATAACCCTACGGGATAGGTAAAGACCTAGAATCTGAAGCAGCAAGTGGTTAAGATGCCTGCCTGAAGTCAAGCATAAGGAAATAAAGTGACCTACAACTGAACTGAGAAGTCTGACTCTGGAGCCCCAGTTCATAAATTAATCATTCAACAGTCCTCAATCTTAGTGCCCTCACATCTATGTTTTTGCCCAATTATAAGAACATTCTGTCTGGAACATGGTCCTTTTAGGATGTTTTAAAAGAAGGTAAGAAATTACTTCAAGTATATTCAAGTATATAAAAAACTCTGTGCTGCACAGTAGCAAACTGAATCCCATACTCTACCTCATAAAATGTTCCTTTGAGGTATTTTTTTCTTATACCTGAAATTACATTTTTTAAAAACCAGCACAGAATGGAGAGTGTGAAGCAAGCTCTGGAAATCTTAACATCCCTTCGAAGTCTTTAAAAATCATATACAGAATTTCTCTTGAATAATTTAAACTTACCCCATTGTGAAAATAGCAATTCTCATGTCAAATGAATTCACAGACCAAAAATTTATGAATAAGTGTCCTTCAAAGGATATTTTAAAGTTTCTTCACTTTAAAAAGACTTGCTTGGGTCTGTAGTTCTCCTATTAACTTGTGATCCTCAAGATAGTTCAAGCACCTTTACTCCTAACGTAGTCACAAAGCTACTATGAAAACGTCCTGAGTTTCAGAGACCCAGGAGAGGCATACAAAATGAATGGACACAGTTCCCTCTGGTGGCTCAGAAGAGGTACAAATACAGCATTACTGAGAAAAAGATTTTAAACAAGCATTCACGTCATTTCTTCAAAAAGTATAGTTTGAAGTGAAACTCTCAGACCCATCAATTATTCAAGATGACTAATTACCACTACACAATATTAATTCTACTGGACAGATTCATCCATCTCACACTTTAGCTTACAAAGTTCTATGCATACACTACTTGTCTTATTTAATGTCCACAAATGACCTACCGAGTACACACAGGGGTTTTATTATTCCTATTCAATTAGGAAACTCGAACTCAGGAAATTGGCTGACTCCCCCCAGGTCACAAAACTGAGAGACAAAAAGAAAGCCTGGACCCAGAACCTGGACTTTCCTATCCCCCGACTTTCGAATACCTCAGGCTGCCTTATCACCACTCAAAACAATTAGATGTTTTGTTTACTGTTTTAATAAAACAAAGGTAATAGTAAGATAAAGCTCTAAAAAAATCCTGATAAACTCCCTACTAGTAGCTGAACATATTGTTTTCCTACATGTGAATTTTAATGCATCAGATACTGCTTTGTAGTCATTCAGTATCAATTGGAATTCCAATTATCATGCATTGTGGTAGGATGTGACCCTTAATTTCACATAAAAACAACGTTTTCTCTTTATAATAGTGGTTTTCATCAGCTGAGCCATTAGGGTAATTCTTACTGTGCTTGAACAGAATAAAATCTTCACTTTCATAAGTCCAGAAATCAAATCTACTGCCAGGAGCAGCATCACAAATGGAAACACACAGGTGTAACATAAGCCTTATCAACCCACAGATCAAACCCTGGGCTATTTAAAATGAAATAGTGCTTTACTCCCCAAAGAAACATATACTTAAAGGCCTAAGAATGTTAAGTCCCTATTTCAGTGCCTCATCAGTAGAGAAATGGCAACTACATATAGAAAAGGGATATTCAAAGACAAAGTGGGACCATCTGAAAAAACGTCTGATATGGGATTTAGAAATAATTTAACAATCCACAAATACTATAATTGAAAACTTACCTCAAGCTGACCTCCCCATGCAGCTGTGTTAATGATATCATCACAGTACTTTCTAAACTCTTCTGTAGAGAAAAATGAGAATATAGCACTTAATAATTTTCATAACTCATGTTACAAGATCCCTTTTATAGCTCCCACAATTCCTGATCATTACTCAAGCTGTAAACTTACTCCTTTCTCTACCTGCACTCTCCAGAATTTAATACAATTCCCAGATCCAAACTTAACTCACTCCAACCTTCCACCACCTCTCTATCTGAGAGGAAAGCAATTCATGTCTGCTTCTCTCCCTCAGGCTGAGGCCCAGGGACCTTTACTACATAGCAAGCCTATTCTTCTCTCTTTAGCTAAACCACTCCCAAAATTGCCACCATATTCATTATTTTGACATGTATTTTAAAATCCAAACCTACATTAGAAAAAATACACTGAGCTAAAACAGTGCAGCCTACAAATCTGGTCCACTGTAAGACCCCATAAGAGAGGTGAGAAGAGGGGCGCCCAGGTGGCTCAGTCAGTTAAGCATCTGACTTTGGCTCAGGTCATGATCTCACAGTCCTTGAGTGTGAGCCCCACATCAGGCTCTGTGCTGACAGCTCAGAGCTTGGAACCTGCTTCAGATTCTGTATTTCCCTCTCTCTCTGCCCCTTCCCTACTTGTGCTTTGTCTCTCTCAAAAATAAATATTTAAAAAAAAAAAAAAAAGGTGTGAGAAGAGAATCAAGGTAAAAGTAGAAAGGAGTTGAAACTCTTTTCCCAGCAATAGCATCAAACAGTGCCTCTACTTGTTGTTTTTAAAGCATTTACCTTATTTGCTTCAGTATCAGTTCTAGCCAAAGAAAGGACTTCCTGAATTAGTCATGAGAGCAGGACCTAATCGCAGTTTAATGGCACATCTTGAGTGTACACACTTTTATACAGCAAGTTAAAAATGGGAAACTAATGGGGCGCCTGGGTGGCTTAGTCGGTTAAGCGTCCAACTTTCCGACTTTCGCTTAGGTCATGATCTCGCGGTTTGTGGGTTCGAGCCCCATGTCGGGCTCTGTGCTGACTGCCAGCTCGGAGCCTGGAGCCTGTTCCAGTCTGTGACTCCCTCTCTCTCTGACCCTCCCCTGCTCACGCTGTCTCTCTCTCCTAGAAATAAATAAAACATTAAAAAAAAAAATGGGAAACTAATACCCTTCCTGTTTAGAGGAAAGGAAAAAAATTATGAACATGTACAGAAAAGTATGTCCTGTGTGTTTGCCTCATTCACTGCTGTGTCCTGAGTGCTCAGAACAGTGCCTGGAAGAGTCCCTGGCATATAGTGGCCTTCAATAAATACTGGCTAAATGAATAAGAAATTAGTCTTTTATCTTTTTTTAAAATTCAGCATGCTGAGTTGCCACCTCTTTTCCACTGCCCGGCAAGTAGTAGAGTCAGAGACTCCATTAAAGGAAAGTCAACCTTAACCCTCCCTTCTCCAACCACTCCTGGCCATTTAACTTGCTGCCAATGGATTCTGCCACACCTACCATCTCCTAAGGACGAACTTTCCTCTATTATATCCCTGTCTCTCCCCGAAACACTTTCAGAGTTTCACTTGTTCTTTCCTTTACTTGCTAGTTTTCCTTTTTTATTTCTTCTTTTTACCTTCCCATAAATAATTTATCTTAATTATCAAAGGTATTAAAGAGAATAATAAGGCAGGTTATTAACTCAAGTGTTTTTGGTTTTGCAAAGTCAAATTTTGCCTAAATATTATGGCTTACTGAAAATAAAATTAAATTTCCCAAATCACAGGATAAAAGTAGGATTTAGTTTTCCCAATCATTTTCTGCTTAGTCTTTGGACCCTATACTTCTACAGACTAATCAAAGCATACCTCCCTCTGCCTACTTTGTGACATGTGAACTCAGAAACAATTTTCTCAGTAATAATAATGAATCCTATTACACTTTTATCTTAAACAATATACTAATATATATTATAATATAAAAATAATTCTGCCTAAATTTTGAGGGGTTTTTTTTCCTCCATAAGGACTATAATAGGTTTTTCTTATTCTCAATCCCAGGAATCACTTTAACAGCAGCAACAAGACACAGTGAAGAAAAATAAATTACCTAGAGTATACATCTCTCCCGTATTAGGATTTGTTAAAAATGGCAGAAAGTCCTCCACATGGCCTTTTATATATTCGGCAGTTTGACTTCTTAAAGCAGCCACAGTCAAAGGGCATTTCCGTTCTTTGAGTTGATCTTCAATGGCTCTATACATACAGTGGCCATCAGATGGAATCTGTTTAATTTCCAACTCTCTTGCTGCCAATATTTGAGCAAGCTTTTCACTTTCTAAGTGTCTGGCTCCAGATAAGTTCTCAATTTCAGCTTCAGCTATCCTTTCTTCCCGCTCCTTTTCCAATGCAGCTTTTTTGTCCTAGGAGAAGAATATAGCAAAGTAAATTCACAATAATGAAGACTATTTTACATTTATTAAGGGAATAGAAATGTAAGACTCTCAAGACTTTTTGCCATTTTCGTCCCTTCTCCCACATGCATTACCATATTGACGATCCCATCACTTGTAGAATTTTCTATACTCCTTTAAGGGCAACTATCTTTCTCATCTGCATGTGCCCAGCACCAAGCTCTATACTAGGACCAAAAAAAAAAAAAACAGAGCAGCCTTCAATTTTTTCTTTGAAGTCTACTTAAAACTACATGAGGGGCACCTGGGTGGCTCAGTCTATGTTAAGCATCTGACTTTGGCTCAGGTCATGATCTCATGGTTCATGAGTTGCAGCTCCACGTCTGGCTCTTTGCTCACAGCTCAGAGCCTGGAGCCTGCTTCGGATTGTGTGCCCACCACTCCCCCCCCGCCCCGTCCTTCCCCCACTCACACTCTGTCTCTCTTTCTTTCTCTCTCAAAAATAAGTGAACATTAAAAAAACTTTTTTTAATACCTGACAAGTTTCTAAAAAACTTTACTTAGTGATTTCAAAGTACTGCCTTAATACTGAGTTTTGTCAGGCTTTAAAGCAACATCATTATCACATTTATGCCGAGCTAATCCAAGCTTTTTAACTTATCACTCCACTACTAGGGCATTAACTTGCTAAATCACATATGCAGCATTAATATGCCAAAGACTGTAAAAGGATTAGGGGAATTCTATTTATCTAGCCTAAAGGAAAAAACGGTACAAGTGTACACATGTACGTACGTACACACACACACACACACACAAATTAAAACAACAGATAAAACATCCTTATAAAAAATTAAAGTATTACAAATAACCTAAAGTTCCCCTAAGGACCAATGCCAATTTCAATGCCTGACGTAGAGGTCTGGTGTGTATCTTTCTAGATTTTTTTCCTAAGCATTTTAACAAAAAGATGTACTCATAAAGTATAGAAAAAAACATTTTAGGGGCGCCTGGGTGGCTCAGTTGGTTGAGGATCCAACTTTGGCTCAGGTCACGATCTCACGGTTCATGAGTTCGAGCCCTGCGTCAGGCTCTGTGCTGGAGACTGTTTTGGATTCTGTGTCTCCCTCTCCCTCTCTCTCTCTGCCCCTCCCCCTCTCATGCTCTGTCTCTCAAAAATAAACATTAAAAAAATATTTTAACAAAAATGGTATCACATTATATTCTGCAACTTCCTTTCCTCATTCAAATGTTTGAAGAGTTCTTCCCATGGCAACATATGCAAGGATTAGGTAGAGGCTGGGAAATGAGATCTATGACATGAAGGACGAATGGGAAGTAGAATGGGAAGGCTGGGGAAAAAGAAAAAAAATCCTGAAAATTGTACTAGAAAGGATCAAAGCCAGAAAGCACTCTGTTCCATAGCTGAACATAGTTCTTACAGCTAGAGTACCATAGAAACATGTCAAGAGTTGAGGCTGGGGGCAGAAAGTAATGTATATAGTTAATAAATACTAAATCTATGCATACATAATTAAAAATTAGAAAAGTATACACGAAATATTTATAGTGCTTTTCTCTGGATGGTACAATAACAAAATAAGTTGTTTGCCCCCTACTCCCATTTCCCATCTACCTCCCCTCTAGCAACCATCAGTTTGTTCTCTGTATTTAAAAGTCTTGTTTTTGTTTATAAATTAAGTTTTGTGTGTGTGCACACATGCATGCTTTTCTGCATCTTTCAAATTCTCTACCATGAATGTGTTTCATTTATATGCTGGCCATGACTGCTTTTCAATTTAAGAGAATAAAAATAGTTAAGTTAAATTCCACAAATCCTGATACAGGTAGCAAATTACAGTGAAGGGATTTGGTAAAACCAAGAAAAAGTAGGAAAAGGCAAAGACTGTCACGTCCCTGGCTCATCCTCCTTGGGGCAGAAAAATCAATGGAAAGGCAAATTTCAATTTAACTTAATGTCACACATTTGAACTACTTGCCTGTTAGATAGCATGCTGGAACCTAAAGTGATTTGTAAGTGACCTGAATCAAAAGCAGTACGATCTCCCTAATGAAACATACACCTGTTTAAGTTTATTCCACCCGAATCCAACCATGCCAGAAATAACATGAACAAATTTATTTCACTGCATACCTACAACTGTGTATCACAGCAGCATGAAAATCTTAAAACACAAGATGGCACTATTACTTTAAGAAAGTCTAAAACACATTTTCAGAGGGGAGACGGAGAATAAGCACCTTGGATATCATCTAATCCAAAACCCCTCATTTTCCTCTGAGGAAACAGCACGCAGAAAGATTTCCAAAGGCCATACAGCTGGTTTAGAAGCAGAGTGGGACCAGGGACAACACAGAGCGCTCCTTCTATCCAGGCACCTAAATCAGAATAAAAGGTGGAGCAGATGGGAGCTGGAGTTAATGATGTCACGTACTAGTTACCACAAGAGTGGAATTTTATACTCTCTGCAAAACCTTTTAAGCCTCTAAAATACTAATCCAAGCATTTCACTTTTGTCCTCAAGCTCCACTGTAATGTTACACAGTAACTATGCTTCCTTTCCAGGGCACAAGGTAGGAAATTCACTAGATTCTTCTCCCAGCCACTAATAGTTTCCCAATGGCACTAGGGCATTGTGGTTTCTACAGCTCTAGTGCTGGAGACAGAATGGCAGCAATTAAGCCTGATGAAAGCATGTACCTAAGATGAAAATAGCACTTAACTCATAAATATATTGTCAGTAAAACTAGAGAACTGTCAGTAAAGTAATGCAGCAAAGTCAACTCTGAAGTGGAATCTTAAGAGCTGGGTACCAGTCCTGGGTTTGTATTGAGCTTTCAGTATGCCATTGACAGCTCTCTCCTTTGTAATATAAAGAAAATGAACTAGATCTCATTCTGGCTCTCGAATTTCCTACTTTTGGAACTCAGTTCTTCTAAGTTCTACTTGGGATTCTTTCCAGCATACCAAAGAGCTTCTTCCATTCAATTCTGCTATATTAATTAAATAAAACACTCCCCGTTTTTCTAGATTAAAAATAAGAGATTTGCTGTACAATATTCCAATAACAAATCTTCATAAAGTTTTGTCATGTTTTTCTGAGAGAGAGTTGAATCTCTCCCAAAGACAAATACCATTCTTTTTAATCCTTGGTGCCGGGCCAAAAAAAAAAAAAAAAAGTTCAGGTTGCATTTTCTTATATGAACTTTTAAGTATTTCCAGTTCTAGAATCCTATTAATACTATTAATATAACAAAGCAATAAACATGGGGAATTATTTCTGGGTGTTTTATCTGTCAAGTATTTAGACAGCTGACTATAAAAGATACTAAATTTTTTTGAGGGTATAGTTGAAAAGGTATGCATTTTAGCTATATATTATTTTAGGAGAAAAGTAACAAAATGTTTGAGAAAAGTAAGGGAGTTTAATTTTCTGTTTTGTTGCCTAAGGGTCCAGCTGGGGATGAATAAGATTTGATAAAGACAGGAAGGAGTTGGGAACCTTTGTTTTCCAGAATTAAATAGGCTACTCTAAGATGTATCAATTACTAAGTAGAGGCAATTCCAATAAATATTTTGTTATGCTACCGCCAAGCAAAAACTCTGCCCTTTGCTTTTGATCTATAGTAGTGGATGACAACTATAAGGCTATCACAAAGAGAACACATATCTTAAGTAGGGAGTTAAAGCAAATAACCTCCAAGCTACCATAAAAGCTAAGTTCCACAATTCTATGAAACTCACACTCATAATATTTACTCAAGAATACAATCTTACATAAGTACAAAAAATGTTTGACAATTTTCAACTTAATCAACTTTCAAACAACAAAAAACAAGATACTGGTCTTGGGTTGAATCTGTAAGAGGCACACTATGCAGAACTGAGCACATTAAACAATAGTATCATTCGCGGACCCGTAAGTTCTCCAGGCACTGTGTTAAGGGCTTTGGAAACAGTACATTATTTAATACTTACAATAACTCTACAAAGCAGGTATTATTTCCATTTTATACATATGAAACTGAGGTTTAAGAAGGTTAAGAAGCTTACCGAAAGTCACAACAGTAAGGATTAAAACCTTCATATGTCTGACACCAAATACCATGCCCTATTAAATTGTGTACTACTAAATTAAAAAATGCTTAGTTAGCTTAAAAATAAATATTTAAATCCTATAATACATCAAGTGTTAGTAAAACAGTATTTGAGACTAAACAGACTGTTTTTAAAACCTATTTTTCTTTTTCCAGGTGAACAGCCCTTACTTATCTAATCTCATTCCCAAAATTTTGATTTCAGGAACTCACTACTTTCAACAAATCAGTTTCCTTATAACTCTCTATGATGCAGAATTTCATGCCCACATGCATGCTATTTCTCGTACTATCCTATTTAAATAACCATTTTCTTAAAATTCTATCTCCTTATTTAATACTTGGCACAATGAACTTTTCCTTCTCTGAATTTCCACTGCAACTGACCATTACATAGGTACCTACATAAACCTCAGAATTTCGTACACCTGTGTATCTTGCTTAATTTCTAGATTCAAATCCTTGTTTTACCACTGAATACCATAGTTTTTAACCAAAGCTGTGCATCAGAACCATCTGGGCCCACACTGTGAAGATTCTAAACGATTAGGTCTAGGATAATTTGTAAAAAATATTCGTTGCACACTCCCCTTCTATGCCCACTCTCTTGTGAGAACAAGGAACTGAACATGTTATTTTATATTGCTTAGGCCTATTTTCTTAAAATGAAATTAAAAATCTACTTCATAGGATAATAATCAGGGCTAAATGAGATTTCATATAATCTGTAATAAGCCTAGCATTGTACCTGGCACATAGCAAGTGCTTAATAAATGTTAGTTCAGTTCCTTTGACAAGGAACTCCATCATTTTTTCCCCTACTCTCTTCCTATACAACATCTAAGAGAGGAATAAGCATATAGCACTAACTTAATTACTTGGTGACATGACATTCATACCCGTCTCTTTTGTGCTTTTGATATCCGAGGTGGCTGATTCTCAAGAACCAAGTTTGAAATGTTAACAGCAACAGAATCTATCTGAAGGAAACAAAAAGCATTAACAAATTAGTGAAAAATACTTTTAATTTTTATTCAAAGTATTAGATTATTAAATTATTGAAAAAATCACAAATACATGTAATCTCACAACTCAAATTTGAATAACAATACTAGATATATTAAATGACAAGGTTTTGTCTCTTTTTTCTATTTTTAAAGGAAAATTCATCAGATTCCTAAAAGGTTTTCTTAACAGTTCTCCAAAGGTAATGCTCATCCCTGCAGGCTTTTCCTTATTGCTTGAAATTCCTCCTCCATTAATCCAAATATCTTCTGTTAAGTGCCAACTCATTCAGTGGTCCACCCTTCCCTTCTCTAAGTGTTGATGGTACTTATAGGATCTATAAAGCCCTGCACTGACTCAGTTCATTACTGCCTTCATAACCTCAAATGTAGCAGGAAAGACCATTCTCCATCTTAATTAGTGAGAACCTGATGAACCGTACTTCTTGACCATAGTAACATGTTGAGCTTTCTCTATCCTTTCCCCTTTACAAACTGATTAACTATAGGTAGCAAAGTTAAGGTATTGTTGGATAAGACAAGCAATCTTAATCATCAAATGGCTATCATGTGTTTGTTTAAGAAGATGCTAGACTGTTAACAATCAGGATTAGTAGCTAGCATTTTATTATTGCAACTATAGCTTAAACTAGTTTTTAGTAGGACACATACATAACGCGTATAGAGACCTCTAATAACAATAGAGCCAACACTCTTCAGGGCTATTCCCAAATAATCAAAATATCAAAACCAGCTTAAGACTTCAAATACTAGTTATATGAACTTTAGTAAAATGAATATTGTTATATTTTTCAGAGGAATCTGCTAAAATCTACAAACTGGCATACCGACTGACAATAGGCAAGAAACAGAGAAGCATCTGCAAAGCAATGACATAAGAATTCAGCTAGCATTCAGAAAGAAAACAAGCTTAAGTCCATGAAAACGAGAATAGGTCAAAGTAAAACAGGAGTTTGTCTTTTAACAGTCAGCAGTATGTAGCTTAAAAATCAAACATTTTCATCCTTGGAAATCTAGGAAAGAAATCTTAAAATTGAAAATGGAGAGACAATTAGGAATACCGTGATTGTAACAACACAAACACCTGGGCATCATGCTGTGTTACTTGGTAATAAACTATGTTAAGGTACAGAAGGCCACGATCTTGATGATTAGCTAATAAGGCTAAAGAAAATGAGACTATGTTTAATATAATGACCACTGTTAATCAGTACAGACAATTTGTTTTCCCTGTCAAGAGCAGACCATATTAAAATCACATTATGGTAGATAAAATTTTGCACAGACACAAGAACTTTCTAACTATCGACAACAGAGTAAGGTTATGGAGGCTGTGATCCTTGATGTCCAAACCCATACAATAAACTACCACACCATAGAAAGTTATAACAGAATTCAATATTCACGTCTTAGGAATAAGACCGTCCGGATTTTGAACTCTAGCTTTTGCATTTAATAGCTGCTATGAATTCAGAAGGAAGTTCTTAATCTCTCTGAGTCTATTTCCCTCTTGAAAAATGGGTTTCTTTACATTTATTTCATGGATAATATCTTATTGTGTTACTATAAAAATTACATGAGATAATACAAATATGTTAAAGTGCATGGCACACAATACCTATTAGCTACAAAGATAAATATTAGTTAAAATGATGACAGTATGCTCCAATTTACCCAAGAAACGTAAGTAAATTTTCATTCGTTACAACTTGTTCATAAAGTACTTTATAACCTAAAAATAATTTCGTATTTGCTGTCCCATTTAATTCTTTCAGAATCTTATGCTTAAAGAGCATAAGTATTTATGTCACATTGTATGTGGGGTTTATGCTCAGGAAGCTTAAGTAACTTTACTGAGATTACAATACTATTTCATGGCAATCCTGGGACTAGAAGTCCTAACTTTCCCTTGGTGAAACTTCCTCTAGTCCATTTTATCAGTCTGTTCATCTTTGGGGCAAGTAAATAGTTGAAGTGTACTTTTTTCACTGACCTCCCTTACAAAAACACATTACCATGTAAACCTGGTCACGGAAAAATTAATGAACGGTGATGCATGAGCATGCTTGTGACTTCCCTTCCCTCTAATTTTATGATTTCATTTCGTCAATAGTTTATTAGAGGTGGGCAGTTGCTTTCAAATGCTGTGGGCAAAAAGAAACATTACTTTACATACTTTACTTTCCTTAGAAGTCAGCCTCAGTTGCTCCAATTCTTCTTTATGTTTCTGTTCCATTTCTGCTTCCAACTTAGCAACATCTTCAGTGAGTTGCTTCCTCCTCTTTTTGTCATTCTTGGGAACAGCGTTCTTCATACCTTGAATTTTGGCTGAAAAGCCACCAAAATCATTGTCAACAATTCAGGATTAAGAGGAAGTGAGAATTGGGGACAAAAAGGGGAGAAAGGTGTAAACAAATAATGACAGAAGAAAAAACAATTACATTATCAGACATTTACATAGAAGAGCCCAGATGGAGACAAAAAAAAAAATCCTCAACAAAACTGTACGTTTAGTGTCATAGGAAAAGAAAAATGACTCAAGTTTTAAATCTTTTAAGTATCCCTTTTGGGTCCTCAAAAGTGAAGTGAGGTATTTTAAGACGCATCCATTAGGGCTAAGTGTCGGTAACTGGTTCAGGAACGAGAAAGGGAGGCAGGGGAGGGGGCGGTACAGTCTGGGCCCAACACCACCGCTTGGAGGTGTTCTCAGACACTGGCACCCAGGCGATGGCATGGGGTAGCGGAGACGCGGCTGATCTGAGTAAAGGAAGCTTCTGAGTATCTGGTGGATTAAGGGAACACCGGGGCAGGGGACTGGGAGGGAAGGGGACACTGGCTACTTTGGGAAAGTCTAGAAGGAGCCAGATCAGAAGCCTCTCAAGATTCCCAGAACCGATCCGACACGCGCCCTTTCCTGGGTCCTGGAGACTTCTAGGTTCCCACCCTCTCGTCACCTTGCAGCTCCTTCTTCTCTTTGCGATGCCTTCTCACTAGCTGCTCCTCCTCATCAAGTTCTTCCGCCAAGACCGCCTCCATGACATCCAGGTAGCCCAGCACAAGGGCTAGTAGCTGAACCACGAGCTAACAAGCACCTTCCACCCCTCACCCTAACCTGGGGTGCCATTGGTCGCGGCTGGGACCCAGTCCCGCCTTCGAGGCGGTACCGGATCTAAGCCGAGTCATTGGGCCGAAGAGAAAGGAGACGGGATGACGCATGCGCACTCTCGTGACCCTGGTCTATGGAGGCGGGGTGGTGGGGCGGGAGCGTGACAGCGCTTGGGGGTGTGGCTTGACCGCTGGCGTTTGCTGCCTCGTGATTGGCTAGCGCGCTAAAGCTCCTGCAGCAGTAAGGCTACGCGTCAGGCTACTGGCTCTGACGTGCGCAGTGTTGACGTTGGGAGCCATTTTGAAAGTTCTTTAGCTTTCGTTTGGTCTCCGGAGGGACGTCGTTCTTAAATCTTCACTTTTGGTACAATTGCCGAGAGCTGTTCAAAGGTAAGGAAGAAGACGTATCAGTAAAACTGTTAATAAGTTTCAGTGGGAATCTTTGGGCTGAATCAGTCAAACACTAGGGAATTAAGTTTTGTTTATTGTTTTAAAGGTCGTAATACCTGAGGAAACCGCTTACAGTTGAGAAAATGCCGCCTCTTGAAACGGATGTAGAGTGGGAAACCGAAGAGGTAGTAAGGATGGAGTATCATATGGTACAGGAGCTTGCAGACCTAAGCTCGAAGATAAAGAAGCTACTGTCAGAGCGCTTGGAAAAGTATAAGAAGGTTGAAAGAGAACGGAAACGTGCAAACCTGACCGGTCACATTAAAGAAAGCAAAACAGTAGAAAACTCAGCATGCGGAAAAGATAGAAGAGAGACCTAGAGAATCTGTCCAGGAGATGCAAACTACGTGTAATAAGAATACCTGAAATAGATGACAAAGCAAATGAAGCAGAAACAATAATTTAGGAACTAATAGAAGAAAATTTTCCAGATTTGAAGAACGAACTAGATCTACAAATTAAAAAAGCTCATAGGCTGCCAGTAGAACTTAATGAAAAGAAAGCAACACCTAGACATACCCTAGTGACGTTAAAGGATAAAGAAAAAAAAACCCTACAAGTATTCAGAGAAAGGTTACTTATAAAGGGGTAAAAGTCAGACTGGCCTGATATTTCTTTTGCAGTTCTAAATGCCAAAAGTTAATGGAGGAGCATCTACAGAAGGGAAAATAATTTTGAGCCAGTAATTATATATCCTAAGTTATTTCTAAGGGCAACTAGAAGACATTCACAGAGGCAGGAGTTACAGTATATCACTCAATGCTGACCTTGAAAATTAAAGTTAGTTAAACATTAAGATTAAATTTTTCTATGTAGAGGGTATAAGACTAAATGCAAAAGTAGGGGCGCCTGGGTGGCTTAGTCGGTTGAGCGTCCGACTTTCGCTTAGGCCATGATCTCGCGGTTCGTGGGTTCGAGCCCCGCGTCGGGCTCTGTGCTGACTGCCGGCTCAGAGCCTGGAGCCTGTTTCGGTCTGTGACTCCCTCTCTCTCTGACCCTCCCCTGCTCACACTGTCTCTCTCTCTCCTAGAAATAAATAAAAAAAAAAAAAAAAGACTAAATGCAAAAGTAGATTTGTAAGTTCAATCTAAAATTTCAGTTTTCTCTCCTTTTAAACTGTGTAAAGGTGTGGTAAATGTTTAATTTAGAAAGCAAATAAGTACTGTTATTTTTCATATGTAATGTTGATAAAGATATGTATGCTTTTCAGCTAAACATAAGTAAATGGTCTTTGTCAGTGTGGACAGGACACAGTAAAGGCATTCCAAGTGTTAATCTGACAAAATGGGAAATCGGTACAGTTTTGTGTCTTCTATTTTTAATTATAGAGGGGGGAAAAGTAACAAGTTTGTAATGTTAATACTGTGTAAAATGAAAATTTCTAAATCCCTGGTCAGGGAGGTGATAGATAAAAACTTTATTTTATGTGCATCTTGCCCAGGGAAAATCAGTAGTTTCTGCTTCATGTAGTAGTTGGTTATAAGTAAATTTGACACTGAGATAAGGTTACAGGTAAATTAGAATATATGAGTTTTATGGATTGGAGAGGAAGTGTGAAAAAATAGCAAGGAAACACTAAAATTAACACAATACAGATTGACAGAGGAACAGGTGAATTATCGACACTCATAATCAGTCTATATACCCCTGTTAAAAAGATTCAAATTGGGTTAAAAATCAGTCTCTGAACCTGGATGTTCACATGAAGGATAAAGGAGTTTAAAGACAAAGAAAACCATAAGTCGTAGAAATTGAAGTAGGGAGCAACATTTTTATCAGAATTTAAGCTATAAGAAAGTATAAAGCACAGTGTTAGGATATAATCCTTAAGTGTTATGTGGTAAATCACATGGCATTCATATGTAAAATGTTCTGTATCTTGATGTGAGTGGTAGTTTTACTGATGTATACCTTGGTTTTATAATGTAGACATAAAATCGTTGCATCTTATGTACTTAATAAAGTAATTCTTAACATGCATATGGCAAAAACTGATGGACTCTTGACTTAAACATTTATAGTCCTTAGTAGAGTAAGTGAAAGGAGATAAAGTAATTAAGTAGGGGGGTGTGTGTGTGTGTGTGTAGTATGTATTACTTTGCTACTTCATTTTTTTTTTTTTTAATGCTTCATTTATTTCTGAGAGAGAGAGAGACAGCGTGAGCAGGGGAAGGTCAGAGAGAGGGAGACACAGCTGAAGCAGGTTCCAGGCTCTGAACTGGCTGTCAGCACAGAGCCCGACTTGGGGCTCAAACCCACGAACTGTGAGATCATGACCTGAGCCGAAGCAGGACGCTTAACCTACTGAGCCACCCAGGCGCCCCTTTGCTACTTCATTTGTATTCTTTTCAGATTATCCAGAAACATGTCTAAACTACCTAATATTAGGATGCAGAGAAAACTTTGATATATGATTACATTGCACAAATGACCATGTACAAATAAGCCTTGAAGCTAAGTTTAGATGCTGGAAAATCACACACTTTGAATTTTTGGAATGTTCTTAAATAACTTGGGCAAAGAGAAAATTATAATAAACACTGATAATTTAGGAAATGATGCAATAAGGATATTATACATTACATATTACATAATGAATGTATAAAAGACAAGGAACAGAGAACATTAGGTGAACGGAATAGGCACCTAAAATAGACTTACTTTGTAACTGGGGTTTCTAAATTTTTTTTTTTTAATGTTTTATTTATTTCTAGGAGAGAGAGAGAGAGAGAGACAGCATGAGCAGGGGAGGGTCAGAGAGAGAGGGAGTCACAGACTGAAACAGGCTCCAGGCTCTGAGCTGGCAGTCAGCACAGAGCCCGACGCGGGGCTCGAACCCACGAACCGCGAGATCATGGCCTAAGCGAAAGTCGGACGCTTAACCAAGCCACCCAGGCGCCCCAATTTTTTTACCTTCCAATCCCAAGTTTTAACCACCAGTCCCCCCACTCCTCCCCGCCCATACACAAATGTACTCTCTGTTGTCTTTTTCTTAGACCTCTATATCATACTTTCTGCTTTGTGGTCTCTGAAAATTACAAGCCTGGGAGCTTGTTAGAAATGTATCTCAAGCTAATAACATGGGATAGATTATAAAATATATTAAGCATCTATAAAGTTTCTCAGGGGCACCTGGGTGGCTCAGTGAGTGTCTGACTCTTGGGCTCAGGTCGTGATCTCACAGTTCATGAGTTTGATCCCTGCAAAGGGCTCTGTGCTGACAGTGTGGGCCCTGCTTAGGTTTCTCTCTCCTCTCTGCCCCTCCCCTGCTGGTGGCCTCTCCCAAAATAAATATGCTTAAAAAAATAGTTTCTCACTGAACATAATGCATTCTACATTTGAATGTTTACTAAATGTTAAATAGTGTCATTGGAATCTAGAAACATTTGCTAAAGCAGTATTGTACAAATTTTTGCACTTGAATTGTAAGCTATTGGAACATCCCCATTTGAATCAAAAGATTTGGTTACATTTTCCAAATATTTCAGGGGAATACTGGTAACTTCTGTTTTTTCTTCTGCCTTGGAAATTTGCAAAGTTGGGACACAAGGGAACTTTGAAGTTGAACAATCCAAACTTAGGAATGTTGAATTAGTACAACTTAAATGGTAAATAGAGACTGAACCTCTCTCTAGTGAACAAAATAACCATGAGGAAGATTTAAATTCAAGTCATGCCCAGATCAAGGTTTCTGTATGAAACCAGAATTACAGCTTAAAAAAGCTGTAAAAGGCCTGCATTAACTATATAATTGGTGATAAGTGGATACATTGGAATGGTAGCTCCAATAAATTACAGACAGGACTTTTTTAGACTCACCAGTAGTGTACTCCCCTGAAGGTGGAGTAGTAAGGGTGGGCTAGAATATGCAAACCAGTTGCCTGCAGATATGTTAAGATTCAGACAATGATACAACATACTTGGGGTTAAACCGAGATTCTGTATTTCTCAATAGCGCCCATGAGTTGGTGCTGTCAGTCAGGATACACACCACACTTTCAAATAGAAAAATAATAAAGCCTTCACTGTGTCTACTAACCATGAAAGTGAGGCTTAAAAAGTATTTGACTTAAGCCCACACAGTAAATATTAGAACCAAATCTGATTTCAAGGCTATAATTTTATCATCTATGTAATCCTGCCTCGTTCACACTACAGCACCTACTTGGAAGATTGTTGTAGGGCATCTGGGTGGCTCAGTTGGTTAAGTGAATGATCTGACTTTAGCTCAGGTCATGATCTCCTGGTTCGTGAGTTTGAGCCCCGTAACGAGCTCTGTGCTGACAGCTCAGTGCCTGCTTAGGATTCTCTGTCTTCTCTCTCTCTCTCTCTCTCTCTCTCTCTCTCTCTCTCTCTGAAGAGCCTTCTTGAGATTCTGGGTGTCTCTCTCTGCCCCTCCCCCGCTCACACTCTTGTCTCTCTCAAAAATAAACATTAAAAAAAATTTTTTTAAAGATTGTTTTGAGGGTAAACTGATTTATATGATATGGAAGAAAGCTTCATTACTTCAGACAAGGTACATACGCAGGAAAGAAATGACTTATGAA